TTTATTCAACAGAAAAAAAATACCTGTTCTGAGTTTTTATTCTAATAGTGTTTTGTTTAGTATGGTAAGCAGTAGCTCCAGGTGTCTATTCATTTGAAATTAGATAAATAAAACTGAAAATTCACTTCTTTGGTATCAGTGGCTGCATGTGACTGGTGACTGCTATATTGAACGGCACAGATATAGAACATATCCACTCTGTAGAAAGTTCTTTTGGATAGTTCTATTCTTATAAATAATCTCTTCACCTTGGCCCCACATCACCTTGCATTTTCCTTCGTTTTCAGCACTCCTGATATGGTCTTCCCTGAACTGGCTCTTTACCACACACCCCACACCTTTCCTCCAATTCCCTGGCATACTTTCCTTCCTGTTATTTATCAAAATCAACTTTTGACTCTGACTCAAATCATTCTTTTAAGATGACTCAAGCTGGATAGAATCCCTTATTTCTATTACTGTGACACTAATTTTATTCTATGATATGTTTGTCTTGACCTGCATTTGCACCTGGCATGTAAGATGAATAGTTATGGTGTCTTTCCTACTAAGCTCATTGAAGGTAGGAACCTTGTCTAATAGACTAGGGTATACTAATCATCATACTAGAGATAGAAGAAAAGAAAAAGAAACCCACCAGACAAATAAAATGTTTAGTGAATATATTAATTTTAAAATCATGATTTCTATTGAAAAATCCTCTCAGGCACATCTGTAAGGTGGTTATGATGCCTTGTTGTCGTTGTTGTTTAGTGGCTCAGTCGTGTCCAACTCTTTGTGACCCCATGGACTTCAGCCCTCCAGGCTTCCCTGTTCTTCACCATCTCCTGGAGCTTGCTCAGACTCAGGTCTAGCGAGTCGGTGATGCCATCCATCCAACCATCTCATTCTCTGTCGTCCCCTTCTCCTCCTGCCTTCAATCTTGCCCAGCATCAGGATCTTTTCCAATGAGTCGGCTCTTCCCATCAGGTGGCTGATGCCAAAGCTTCAGCATCAGCCCTTCCAATGAATATTCAAGATTGATTTCCTTTAGGATTGACTGGTTTGATCTTGCAGTCTGGGAGACTCTCAAGAGTCTTCTCCAAAACCACAGTTAGGAATAAGAATTATACTGCTTCAGTATTTTTGTTTGTTTGTTTTTTGTCTCCTGTTTCAGAACCAATCAAATTGCCAGGTAGGTCTGTCTTCTTCGATGTTTCCATAAGCTCTTCACATTCTTTGTATCTAAAACTGAACTTCAGATGCATTAGTGGTTCCTACTGGCCACAGAGAGGTTTTGAGTCTCAAAAACAAAACAACAAAAACCCCTACACAATTGATTGAAACACATCTAACATAAAATGATCTATATCATAATGACAAAAGGAGAAATACCCAACATCTCACTGAGACCACTGAAGAAACTAGGGCACTTATTCTAGTCTGAAAATTGGCCATTTAAAGGAAGAAATTCAGCATTTAATTAATTCATACTTAATACTAATTAAAATTTGTATAGCTAATCTTCTGGATTAGCTTATACTTCAGGAAGGTCAAGTAGCCCTTTACAGAAGAATTCCTGCTAATAAGAATGGGAAAAAAATTTTAGAAATAGAAGCTCATCATTTTGTGACCCCCCCAAAATTATTGATTTAAACCACAATCAATCATTGACAGATGAGTTTTGAATGAAAGGTTAAGTATGATTGATTATATGTGTTTTGTTCCTTTACGTATATTTGTGTGATGCCTCTTTACCTAACTATGCATGCTCTTTACTAAGTATGCACCGAAATAGTAGAATGTCCTTCAGTCTGAGTTTTCACATGGTTAGATGTGAGAAATTTCTGGGAGGGGATATATGTATACCTATGACTGATTCATGCTGAGATTTGACAGAAAACAGCAAAATTCTGTAAAGCAATTATCCTTCAATAAAAAATAATTAAAGAAAAAAAAAAGAAATACTCTTTCTGACAAGAATGCCACAGAAGTGATGAGTATACTGTGTATCACAACAGTAGGTAAATGATATTGATTTGTCCCATTGTTATTGGTATTAACTTTAATCACCTTGTTTAGGAAGTATCTTTCAGGTTTCCTACTATAAAGTTACTATTTTCCCTTTGAAATTTAAGTGTCTTATGAGGGGATAGCTTTGAAGCTGTAAATATATTCTGTTACCCCTCAAACTTTCACTATTTTAGCATCCTCTGATGCTTCTTGCCTGAATCAGTTACCACTATGATGGCTTTCAAATGGTAATTTTCTAATATTATCATTTTATTTACATTTGTTAATGGGCTTTCTACTAGAAGGAAGAAGTTTTCTTTTCTGTTTATCTGTTTGTTTTTATAAGCATGAATTCATGGATTTTTAAAAATTCCGTTGTCTGTAAACCATTACTATTATGAGAAAAGGTGAGCATCTTTTCTTAGGTTTAAAGGCCATATTTATATCTTTTTGTATAAATTATTGATTTTTTGCACATATTTATTTGGGGTTTTTGGATTTTTTTCCTTTAATTTTAAGATTTTAAAATTTTGTTAGTGATTATTAGTCCTTTATCTGTGACATATTTTACATATACTTTTTCCATTTGTTTTCTTTTGACTTTTGTACATTTTTTGCCATGCATAAGTTTTTTATTCTTATGTAGTCAAACATGTTCTTTCAAATGTATCTAGAATTTAAGTCATGGTTAGAAAGCCTTTTCCTATACTGAGGTTAGAGGGGAAGCCACTTGTATTTTCTTGAAGTATGTACGTATAGGTGATCTTCATTGCAGGTTCTGTATTTGTACTAAAATGTATTTGTAACCCCAGGTTAATACTTGTGGTGCTCTTGCAGTCATTTACAGATATTTGCAAACTGGCAAAAGTTCGAGTCAACCAGTGATCATGGTCCCAGCTGAGTTCGTACAAGACAATGCTCTGCCTTCTTTCAGCTCTCGTATTGTAAACTGTGTCCTTTTCATATTTTTGTGCTTTTTGTTGGAGATTTTACTATTTGACCCCAAAGCATGGTGCTGAATTTGTCTCTACAGAACTTTAGTTCTTAAGCCCCTGAATACTGTGATGTCCGTTAAGGAGAAAATAAGTGTATTAGATAAGCTTCATTTAGGTATGAGTTATAGTGCCGTGGTAGTGTGTTCAATGTTTATGACTCAACAACATATATTAAAAAAGGTGTCTCTGAACAAAAACACATAAAATAAGTTATGTGTTGATCAGTTGATGAGATTATTACCAGAGGCTTGCAGGGACCTAACCCTTTGTTTGTCCTAGGATCAATCATTGAGTATTTGTGAATTCAATGTTTGCAGAGACTTTGTAGAACACTGCCATGAATGCCATGAATACCAAGAATTGACTCTAGTTTCATTTTTTACTTTTTAACCTCTGATCTTTTTGGATTTGTGTGAATGATTTGTTGTAGGGATCTAGTTTTATCTTTTTCCAAATGGCTAAACAGTTGTTCCATCATAGTTTTCTTTCTTCCTTTCTTCCTCTTTTTTTTTTTCTTTCTAAAATTCACCTTTGTTGTAGTGATTTGAGATACCATCTTTATTATTACTAAGTTTCTGTATATATTTTGGCTCTGGTTTTGGAGTCTCTTTCATAGTCTGTTTGTGTGCTGATACCTCATGTTTTAATTATAGATATTTTGTTTTATGTTCTAATTTTGGTAGGGCTAGTTCCCTCTCATAGCTTTTCTTTTTTAGTGTTTTCCTGGATATCTTTTTTTTTTTTCCTGGATATCTTTACTTGTTTATTTTTCCAAGTTGTCTAGCTCCCCAAAAAAAGATTATTAGTATTTTTATTAGGATTGTATTAAATTTAGAAGTTAATTCAAGGAGAACTTAAAATTTTATGATGTTTAGTTATCCTGTCCAAGAACACCAGATATGTTTTCATTTGTTCAAGTCTATTTTTGTACCTGTCAAGTGACTTAAAGTTTCTGTCATATAAGTTTTGCACATTTCTTGTTAATTTGTTCCTAAGTATTTTATCTTATTTGTTGTTATATTAAGTTGAATTTTCTTGTCTACCATATCCTTTAACTATTTAGTATGCTTGCATATAAAGGCTATTGTTTTCTATATTTTAATTTTATATCTTGCTACCTTATTAAATTCTCTTATTGTTTTAATTAGTTTATCTTATTGTTCACTAAGATTTTCCGTGTTCCCTCTTATGTCATTTAAGAATAGTTGTTTAATTTTATTTTTTTCCAATTTATAAGCTTCTTGCCTATTTCATTGGCTAATACTTTCAGTCCAGTGTTGAATAGTAGTGGAGATAGTGGACATCCTTGCCTTGCATTTGATCATGCATCTCTAGTGTTTATTATGTAAGATGTTGGCTTTAGGACTGAGATATGTATTATTTTCTCAAGTTAATGAATGATGCTTTAATTTTGATATAGTAAGACTGCTAGAATTTCTAACTTAGTGCTGGGAAGACCTAAGTAGAGAGAGGAAATGAAGTTGAAATGGACAGAAGAAGGAAGCAAATGAGAAAGGAAAAGGCTTTGGAATGATCAGTAAAATGGCTCAATGGGAAAGAGTATGCCGTTTTTAATAACAACACATCTCACTGTTCACTTGGTTAATTAATCGAAGACTAAATGTCTGCACATTAAGATAGTAGAAATAATTCTAGAAATATTGTTATCACTCTGCCTCTAGTATAGTCTGGACTTTGCTCGTAGCTTGAGTGAATAAAATACTTATATGACTGTAACCCTAAAAATGGAGCTTTGCCTTGTTTTTGAACTTCCAGTTTTTCCAGATCACTCCTTAAGGCAATCGTACATGTTTATTGAATGCCTTATATTAGAATATATTATATATTTATATATATGCACACGCACATATATTTACAGTGCCTACACACACATACACATTGTCTAGCTTCAAGTGAGATTTAATCCAAAGGCTCAAATGATTTTATCAGAACTCAGTCTTCTTTCTCTTGATCTTTCTGGTCTACTTTTGTTAGTGTTACCCTCATCCTCAGGGTCTGCTTTTGGCAGAAGAGATTGCGATTCATGGCTTCACCTCTTTGGAGCTCCTGTGCAAGTCCTTGGCGTTCATTCTGGCTGGACTAGCCCCGTCATATGCCCACAGGGGCAGCAGGGTTTGTGGTTCCTGCCGGACCCTAGTGGCACATTCCGCTCCTTCTGATGGGGATGCAGCTTCCTCCCCAAAACACAGGGTCTGAGAGACTGGAGGGGTAGTTTTCCAAAAGAAAGGGGGTGTATTTATTGTAGCAGAAGAAGGGAGGATTAGGTGCCAGTCAGGCAAAAAAGCAGCAACTGTTTGCTGCCATAACTGAGTAAAGTTTATTGGATGTACTTGAGTTTAGTAGTGAATGAAAAAGTTGTAGTAATTTGGAGAAAGGAAAAATGCCTGAATGAATGCTTTGGACATAGACTCCTCACTGCTTGCTTCCTCCCTCACTTTGGCAACAGCTTACTGTTTTTCCCCCAGACTTGATTCCTCCAGCTTTATTGGATTCTTTCACCCTTGCTGGAGGGAAATGACGTCAGGTAAGCAGTGAATGTGACAATAAGCATCACGGTTCTGTTTTTCTGCAGCTTTAGTCCTGCCTCCCAGATCTACTGCCAGAGATGAATAGAAGGCCTCCTCCCAGCTTTCCTCTTGACTTTAGGGGATGAAATGTGTCATTCTTACATATCACAGAGAATATTTATCACGTGGCATACTTGTACCACAGTTTTGGTTCTTTTTTTTTTTTAGTGTCATCTAAAGTAACAACAGGTATAAGTCTTTATCTTTACTTTCTAGAGCTGCCAGTACAAAAAAGTAATATTTCTTTTTGGAGCCTGAGGTATGGAGAATATGCAATTTAGATATTTAAACAGGAATAGTGGATGCAGCCAGAAACTTTTCAATAGTCCAGTTAAAATACATAATAGCATGTGTTTAAAGTAAATTTTTGGAATACAGATTGGAAAATCCTGGATACATTCATGTAGTATGTACCGTAAAGGCATGCCTTGCTAATAAGTACAAGTGGGAGGAAGCAGTACGTATCCTACTAGGGGTCAGAGATTCCTACTAAGATGTTTCTCTGGCAGCCTTGTTCCCATCTAGGTAGCTGAAGGATTAAAGGAATTTTCCAGTCTTGCTTAATCTACTGGCTTTTATTGAGTTAAATACCATCACCTCTGCAGCCTCACATATTTGCATAAACACTCTCCCTCAGAATTTAAACAAAGAGTTATATATTTTCCTTTGCAAAATATTATATATTATATATAATATATTATATATAAATATAGTTATATATTTTCCTTTCCTTTCCTTTTCCTATTTGCAAAGCCTGGAAGTCTAAGGAGGATTCACCTCGTTTTAATCATGGACATGGACAGGGGGCAGTCTAACTTAAACATGTGGACTTTGGCACCAGGCCAGCATGGATTTTAACCTGGTTTTTCATGTTTTGGATGTGTATCCTTAGACAAGTTGATCGTTGTAGGCCTCACTTCTCTTACATATGAAAATTATTCATTTATTCATCCAGCATGTTTGTTATTAACTACTCTTCCATGTGTTGGGGATGCATCAATAAACAAAACAATAAAGGTCTCTTCCTTTCTGCGGCTTATGTTCTAGTGATGGGGAGAAGCAAGAAAGCGAAATTTTGTGTTCAAAAATCGTAATTGCTATAAGAAAGGAAAGAGAAGAGCAGAATCATAGAGAAGTGGATTAGGGAAGAGAGTGGGTGCAGAAGTAGGGTAATCAGGTTTGGCATCACTGAGAAGGTGATGTTTGGATGAAGTTTTCAGTGAAGTTTTAAAAGACTCTCTCTGCCTCGAGAACAGATTGTTGGGGGTTAAAAAAAAAAAGCAGAGAGAATTGTTAGGAGGCTTTCATTGTAACCCAGGTGAGAGTTGATGGTGACATAGTAGTAGCACTGAAGATGGTGAGAATGGCTGAGTTCTGTATACATTTTGTAGGCTCAGCCAACAGAATTTTCTACTGGTTTAGATATGTTGTGTGAGACAAAAAGAGGAGCCGAGGCTTTTGATCTGAAGAACTGGATGGAGGAATTGTTAACTGACAAGAGGAAGACTGTGGGTAGAGTGAATTTTAGGGAAAAGATCATGAGTTCAGTTCTGTGTGTGTGTATATATATATATATTCAGTTCTGTGTGTGTGTATATATATATATACATATATAATATGTATATATATATATTGAGTTTGAGATGTCTGTTAGGCATCCACATAGGCTTAAAAACATATACCGACAGGTTGCTTGTGGTGATTCAGTATGGTGAATATAAATCACTTAGCACAGTGCCTGACATAATTATCTGTATGAGATCAGAGAATATATTGCTATATGAAACAAGAATCAGTTCAGTTCAGTAGCTCAGTCATGTCCGACTCTTTGTGATCCCATGAACCACAGCACGCCAGGCCTCCCTGTCCATCACCAACTCCTGGAGTTCACCCAAACCCATGTCCATTGAGTCAGTGATGCCATCCAACCATCTCATCCTCCGTTGTCTCCTCCTCCTCCTGCCCTCAATCTTTCCCAGCATCAGGGTCCTTTTAGATGAGTCAGCTCTTTGCATCAGGTGGCCAAAGTATTGGCGTGTCAGCTTCAACATCAGCCCTTCCAATGAACACCTAGGACTGATCTCCTTTAGGATGGACTGGTTGGATCTCCTTGCAGTCCAAGGGACTCTCAAGAATCTTCTCCAACACCACAGGTCAAAAAGCATCAATTCTTTTGTGCTCAGCTATCTTTATAGTCCAACTCTCACATCCATACATGACTACTGGAAAAACCATAGCCTTGACTAGACGGACCTTTGTTGACAAAGTAATGCTTTTTAACATGCTGTCTAGGTTGGTCATAACTTTTCCTTCCAAGGAGTAAGTCTTTTAATTTCATGACTGCGATCACCATCCGCAGTGATTTTGGAGCTCCCAAAAATAAAGTCAGCCACTGTTTTCACTGTTTCCCCATCTATTTGCCATGAAGTGATGGGACCAGATGCCATGATCTTAGTTTTCTGAATGTTGAACTTTAAGCCAACATTTCACTGTCCTCTTTCACTTTCATCAAGAGACTCTTTAGTTCTTCACTTTCTGCCATAAGGGTGGTGTCATCTGCATATCTGAGGTTATTGATATTTCCCCCAGCAATCTTTATTCCAGCTTGTGCTTCTTCCAGCCCAGCATTTCTCATGATGTACTCTGCATATAAGTTAAATAAGCAGGGTGACAATATATAGCCTTGACGTACTCCTTTTCCCATTTGGAACCAGTCTGTTGTTTCATGTCCAGTTCTAACTGTTGCTTCCTGACCTGCATACAGGTTTCTCAAGAGGCAGGTCAGGTGGTCTGGTATTCCAATCTCTTACAGAATTTTCCAGAGTTTATTGTGATCCACACAGTCAAAGGCTTTGGCATAGTCAATAAAGCAGAAATAGATGTTTTTCTGGAACTCTCTTGCTTTTTTGATGATCCAGCGGATGTTGGCAATTTGATCTCTGGTTCCTCTGCCTTTTCTAAAACCAGCTTGAACATCTGGAAGTTAACGGTTCACGTACTGTTGAAGCCTGGCTTGGAGAATTTTGAGCATTACTTTACTAGCGTGTGAGATGAGTGCAATTGTGCGGTAGTTTGAGCATTCTTTGGCATTGCCTTTCTTAGGGATTGGAATGAAAACGGACCTTTTTCAGTCCTGTGGCCACTGCTGAGTTTTCCAAATTTGCTGGCATATTCAGTGCAACAGAATCATCATTTGGGATTTGAAATAGCTTAACTGGAATTCCATCACCTCCACTAGCTTTGTTCATAGTGATGCTTTCTAAGGCCCACTTGACTTCACATTCCATGATGTCTGTTTCTAGGTGAGTCATCACACCATCGTGATTATCTCGGTCATGAAGATCTTTTTTGTACAGTACTTCTATGTATTCTTGCTTCTGTTAGGTCCATACCATTTCATCAGAAGTTGCAAAACCAGATTTTCAGGGGAAAAGGGCTAATTGAATACAATAGCAAGATGAAAAATAATAATTTGGAAAACCGAGGAAATCTCTCAGAAAATGAAAGTCAGAGGGATGCAAAAGTCATAGAGAATCCATGGAGGAGGTCTAACTCCTTCCTAATGGGACTCTCAGAGACACAGACCAAAGAAAATGAAAAGAGGAAATTATGAGTGAAACAGGAGAAGAAAAAATTCCAGAACTGAAGGACAAGAATTCTTAAATGGAAAGTGCTCAGCACTAAGAATAGGGGGTGGGTTGGAGCGGGGAGAAACATAGTACCAAGACATTTTAGATTAGAGCAGCAGAGAGAAGAAGCAAGTCACAAAGAAAGGATTAGAAATTAGCAGATTGTCAGACTTTTCAAAAGTAATACAGGATGCAAGTAGACAATAGATTAGTGCCTTTAAGGTTCTGAGTGAAAATGATCAAACATAGATTTCTATGTCCAGCCAGTTAGTTAGTTATAAGGATAAAATGACAATATTTTCCAATGTGCAAGGTCTCAGAAAATTTATCTCCTAATACATCCTTCCTTGGGAAGCTATCAGGAGAGTAGGATATAACACTGGAGAGACATAAAGGAAATTCCCGAGTGATGATGAAATAAAGTCCAGGATAACAGCTGAATAGCAGGTTTAGCGGTTAAGGTAAATACAGTTAGGGCAGAAGGATGGAAGACCCAGGGAACATGTCTCTAAGAAGGAGATTGAACTGACATTTTATGTGTTTGACTTTTCTGAAGGAGATTCTTAGCTCTTTCAGAGAGCTGGGGGATAAACTGTTCCCAGCTTAAAGCAACTTACACTGCATTATGGCATATGCTCAAGGAAGTAGGTAATTACTGTAGTCTGTGAAGGTTTGGAAAGCTTAGTACCCTTCTCCTAGACCACCCATAGTTGGAATGTGGGTTTAGAAGTCTAGTATTTAGCTCCTTCAGCATCTGTAATTGAACTGTCAAACCAACAGCTTGAAGCTGACGGTGGGACTAGCTGAAAATCATTCTACATTCTAGGAAAGAAAGTCTTTTTCTTTTTCAGGGGATAGGCAGGGGAAACTATTGCTTATTATTAGTTGAAAGAATTTAAAATATATGTATGTATATTTATAAGCATTTGTCAGTTTTTATTTTTGTATGTATGACACCATATGTTTGTAAGAATGTCTTATTTTTACAATGAGTGTGGAA